CCCCCCAACTCCAGGACCCCACCTATCCTTGCACCCTCACCGCCCCTCCCTCCTTCCTTCAGGCCTCTTCCTATTGCCTTCCTTTCCGGCTTCCCAGGGCCTAGCTTGGCCTCTCTCCCTCCGCTGACCCTCCCTTTCCAGAAGCCTGGTGGCCCATGGTGGCCCGCCGGCCGTGGAGGCGGGTTCTGCAAAACAGGCGCCCACGGGATCAGGGAGGCGGGTTCTGCAAAACAGACGCCCACGGGATCGTGACGCACCTTAAGGATCGCGCCTAAATGCGGCGTGACGCACCTTGAGATCGCGCGCCTCAGCACCGGGTCCCGGCGCTCCTTTTTGCAATTCGTAGTGCCGGTCCCGGCGCCCCTCCGCCCGGGTCCCGGCGCTCCTCAGCATCGGGTCCCGGCGCGCCCCGGCACGTGATCCCAGCGCTCCGCAGCAGCGGGTCCTGGCGCTCCTCAGCACCGGGTCCCGGCGCTCCGCAGCACCGGTTGCCGGCGCTCCTTAGCACCTGGTCCCGGCGCTCCTTTTTGCAATTTGTAGTCCCGGCCCCGGCGCTCCTCCGCACCGGGTCCCGGCGCTCCTTCGCACCTGGTCCCGGCGCTCCTTTTTGCAAGTCGTAGTGCCGGTCCCGGGGCTCCTCCGCCCGGGTCCCTGCGCTCCTCAGGACCTGGTCCCGGCGCTCCGCAGCACCGGGCGTCGGCGCTCCTCAGCATCGGGCCCCGGCGCTCCTCGGCACGTGGCCCCCGCGCTCCGCAGCACCGGGTCCCGGCGCTCCTTTTTGCAATTTGTAGTCCCGGCCCCGGCGCTCCTCAGCACCGGGTCCCGGCGCTCCTTTTTGCAATTCGTAGTGCCGGCCCCGGCGCCCCTCCGCCCGGGTCCCGGCGCTCCGCAGCACCGGGTCCCGGCGCTCCTCCGCATCGGGTCCCGGCGCGCCCCGGCACCTGGTCCCCGCGCTCCGCAGCACCGGGTCCCGGCGCTCCTCCGCACCGGGTCCCGGCGCTCCGCAGCGCTGGGTCCCGGCGCTCCTTAGCACCTGGTCCCGGCGCTCCTTTTTGCATTTTGTAGTCCCGGTCCCGGCGCTCCTCAGCACCGGGTCCCGGCGCTCCTTTTCGCAATGAATTCGTAGTGCCGGTCCCGGCGCTCCTCCGTCTGGGTCCCGGCGCTCCGCGGCACCGGGTCCCGGCGCTCCTCAGCACCGGGTCCCGGCGCTCCGCAGCACCGGGTCCCGGCGCTCCGTAGCACCGGGTCCCGGCGCTCCTTTTTGTAATTTGTAGTCCCGGTCCCGGCGCTCCTCCGCACCGGGTCCCGGCGCTCCGCAGCACCGGGTCCCGGCGCTCCTTAGCACC